CTCCTCCATTTTGAAAGCTTCATATTTCCGAATCAAGGACAACGCCTTGGTTTCCTTGACTTGATCATTTCCTTCATGAGTCATTTTGAAAGAATCAAATATAGACTTAGCTAAGTCTCTATTTGTGATCTTCATATACTCAGTATAATAAATCACATTCAAGAAGATGGTTCTTGCTTTATAATGATTCTTACAATCTTTCTTTTGTTAAGCAGTCATAGCTCTCCTAGCTATCTCTTTTCCAATATTATTTGTGGGAGGTACGTAGCCATCGACTACTATATCCTAAAGATCAATACCATGACCTAGAAAGAAACTTTCTAGTCTATCGTTCCAGTATTCAAACTTTTCTCCATCAAATATGGGAGGTTTGACGTTATAACTTTTATCATTTGAATCTGATGCAGTAACAACTGAAGTGGGTTCAACCATTGTGTTTCTTCAATGAAAAAATTGTCTGGATCTTTATGTGACACGGTTAAGTGTTTGATAACAATCAATACCAGAACCGGAGCTCTGATGGAAATTGAAGGTGTGAGAAACACAAGGGGGGTTTGAATTGGGTTTCACCAAATAAAATCTTTTTGTTGGTGACAAACCAATTACACTTAGAACATAAAATAGTAAATGAACACAATGATTTTTATCCTGGTTTGCTGTTAACTAAGCTACTCCAGTCCATCCTCGCAAGGATGATTTCACCTTCAACAAGGACTTAATCCACTATAACCAAACTGATTATAGAACAACCCGCAATAAGTATGATCAACCTTATTGGCACCCCCAATAAGTCCGTCGATCCTTACTATAAATCAACTCAAGCCATGACAAGAGTTTTCTTGAGCTAAGACATTCACTCAGTCTCTCAAGGTATCATTCAACAACAGTTAAGTACTTTCAGTGTATTACATGTTTGCTTCTTGTAAGCAGATTACACGAACTTTCCAATACAATGAAGAACACCTAAGTGTTATACTGCAAGATATGAGCAACAACTCCTTTATTATTTACAAAACTATATACAGATGATTTCTCTATAGAGTTTGCACAATGCTTTGGTGTAGTTTTATTGAGATTGATTTGAACCGATAGATTTGTCGTTGTAATGTAGTTGGTTACTTTTCTTCAGCTTCCAAGTCATCCTTTTATAGCTTGTAAAAGAGATCCGTTGAAAGAGTAGAAAGGTAAATCAGAAATCTAGTTTTTGGTTCTCAATGGTTATAATGAGAGTAGTCACTGTTAAGTACAAATCCTTGCACCACTCTAGAAGAGTAGAGGTCACAATCACTTTATGTACCTTTTGTACACTATCACACGTTAACCATTTTTAACTTTTCCTTCTTGATCTACAAAGTCTTTAAATATTTGAATGTTGAGCGTTGAAGCTTGTTATAGAAGAATATCTCTTAAGCCTTAGAACCTAAGTCTTGGAGTCTTCAGAACTAGTAACATAGAACCTCGTCTTCATAGTCTTTATCACTTGCTTGTAAGAACTTCCTTTTCTTCAGATCATCAGAACTTGTTCAGTAGAACCTTATCTTCATAATCTTCAGAACTTGTAACACACAAAAGTAAATATTTAGAAGGCATCCAAAGCTAAACCACAAAGCCACAATTAGAACTTCTTGTACTAACATTCCTAAGACATGTTGCAGAAGAACAGTTCAGAACCTTGACTTTACCAAAACATGTAACATGTTTTCTTCCAGAGTGTATGTTCAGAACCTGATGACGCCACACACCTTGTACCAGAGTCAAAAGATTATAGCAGCAACTACACACTAGACAAAACCATTAGTGTATACAATTGTTCTCTAAGATAACATGTGAATTTATCACTAAAATATCAAGTCCAGATGTAGGAAACACTTCTTATTCTTACAAACCACATAAACTGGATCAAGCGCTTACCATTGCGCTAAAAGAAATTGCTTGTAGCCAAGGAGAAACTTTATTTCCATACAATACGAGCATTTTTCAGGGGCTGCACTTAGTTTACTAAGCGCCCATGGGTAGGATGTTAAGCCCTTCGAATCCCTAAGGTTGACGCTGGATATTTTAATCCAATAATCTCCCCCCCCCCCCCAGTGTCACCCGGGGTGTTCAAACCCATGACCATGATCTAATACCACGTAAACTGGATCAAGCACTTACCATTGCACTAAAAGCAATTGCTTGTAGCCAAGGCACAACTTTATTTCCATATTATACGAGTATTTTTCGGGGGTTGCACCTATTTTACTAAGCACCCATAGGTGGGATGTTAAGCCCTTTGAATCCCTAAGGTTGATGTTGGTTATTTTAATCCAACAGAACACAGTGAAATTTGCAAACAACAATACTCTAGCAGCTGAAGGTATTAGAGATGTTTTTATTATGAGGAAAGATGGCAAAAGGTGATTAATTTCCAATGTGTTGTACATACTAGGCATGAAGAGAAACTTTCTCAGCATAGGGAAATTGGTCAAAAAGAATTACAATGTTGGTCGAAGACAAGATAATGAGAGTCGCCGACACAAATGGAAGGTTAATCTTTAAATATCCTAAGTTTCATAACAGAACTTTCAAGATAGAACATAATGTGATGGAGCACCAGTGCCTTTCGACTACAGCTAGCAGAGATGAATGGATATGGCACTATTTATTAGGCCATCTCAACTTCAGAAACATCAGAGATTTGAAGAGAAGAAATACGGTTTTAGGATTTCCATAAATTGACATACCAAACAAAGTGTGTGAGGAATGTGTACAGGCGAAGCAACACAAGAATAGCTTCAGCAAGGATGCAGGAAGCAAGTCGAAGGCTATTCTCGAAGTCATATACTCTAATGTGTGTGGACCTTGTAGCGGTAAAATCAATGAAGTCGCCACCGAGTATTTAATTATCCCATGTGAAAGGGAAAGGAAAGTCATCGAAGAAAACCCTAAAGGGGGAAATCAAGGTCTTGCAACCGAGAGATTTGGTAAGGGAGTCGATTACGCGAGGGGAAGGTATTAGCACCCCACACGTCCATAGTACTCTACGGGATCCACTCTCGCTATTCTAATCAAAGGGTGTGTTCAAATTATGCTTACTGTTTACTACTGTTAAAGGGAGAATGCATGCAAAACAAAGGAGAAAGAATGTAGGGAAAAATAAAGTTGTACTCGCTTGGTCCCTACCCATATGCCTACGTATCCTTTTTGAGGAATCAGAGCTACCGTAGTTCGGCTCATATATTTTGTTTGTTTGTATTTTTAAATGAACAATGTTGCATTCGATCATTCCACCGCTGCTCGACCTTTGGAGACTTATGACCTGTAGTGGAAAGGAGCTAACATGCTCTTAGAAAGAGATAAGCCGAATGGCGAAAAGAAATGGATTGGTTGGTATTTTTTTTATCATGAAAATAATTTTTTTTATATACTTAGCATTTTTTATATGTTTTCCAAGAAAAAAGAAGTTTTAGTTTTAAGTGCAATTATGCAAAAAATAGGAAGAAAACATCTAAGGGAGACTAACCTAGATCTAACTTAATGTTATCATACAATGAGGGATCCTATCTAAGTTAGCATACCAAAGAAATTCTAACAAACTATCCTATAGGGAACATGCATTGAGAGCGAAGTCGTGATCTCAATTTATAAATTGAGTGACTCATTGATCAACAAGAAATAAAGGAAGGAGATTAAATCCTATAGGGAGCATGCACTGAGAGCGAAGTCGTGATCTCAATTTCTAAATTGAGTGACTCATCGATCAACAAGAAATAAAGGAAAGCGATAAAATCCTATAGGGAGCATGCACTAAAAGCGAAGTCGTGATCTCAATTTCTAAATTGAGTGACTCATCGATCAACAAGAAAGGAAGCAAACACAAGCATAACACATAACAAAAATGAAGCGCAGAATGCCTGCTACAGGTCTTTAAACAGCAACTTCAAGCGCACGCTCTTTATTTCCTACTTCTCATGATATATAGAAAAGCAATAAATGAGAAAATATAAACTGGGAGCAGTATAATACCAAACAAATAATAATGTTCGCAAAAAGTGTAACCAAGGTAAAGAAATCCGAGATACTTCACGCGAGCTAACGGAGAAGATATGTTGCCTCTTCTAAGCCACGCGAGCAAAGAGAAAACTCTATAGAAACTGCTCCACACAAGTGATCAAACAAATAAATTTTCAAACATCCTATATCACAAGAGATTATCTCAATACTATCATAAAATTTTATCTAAAATGGCAACCAAATAATTAGCAAACATAAAAAAAGATAATAGAAAAATTTACTAAAAATCTAAAAGAATTCTAAACTTTCCTACCTTTTTTATTATCTTGTCACTAATTTTCAACATTATTCCAATAGCAAAATAAAAAAGATATAAGAAAAATTAGAGTAGAAGTCTAAACAGTGGGTGAAGTCAGGATTAGGTGTGTGATATAGCAAACAGGCACTAGGCCCATTATCTCTAAGGTCCATGAGCCAATTTTCTTGGTTCAATATTCAGCTTCCAAAACGGGCCTGGGAGGGAGTAATTCGATCCAACATACTAATTCAAAGCCCACGTAACCTAAACTCTATCAACATTTGATTATGTTATTTGTTATTCTTTATAATTAAAAAAAACAACAAACTAAATGAAAATTAAGCAAGAACGGCGTAATTTGGAAAGGGACTTAGGGTTTTACTGTTATGACCCTTTGTCTCCGTCGATTCAGCGTCTTCTCCGAACCGGAAAAAAATATCATCAGCGCCGTCGTGACTACTTTGTATTCTCCGATCCAACCCTTCGACTCGCCCTCCTTCACTGTTCTCCGTCTCGATCTCTCTTCTCAATTTCTGTCTCGAGCTTCGACTCAAAAACTTCAACTCAATTTCGTTCTTAGTATTCTACTCAAGAATTCCTCCACTCGAGTTTCATTCTCAATCAGATAAGGTAGAAAACATAGAAGGAAATATTGAAGAAGTCTTACCGATCGAAGTTCGTTTGACGCGTCTTTGACGACTTTACGACGATGAAAAATCTAGAGATAAAGGCTCAGGTATGTGCCTTCGTTATTGATTCTTCTTATTCTTTTCTATAACTTCTTCGATACTCTGCACTTATGTGTTGTTTGTGCTTGTGCGTTGGTTTTGTTACAAATTGATGAAGTGCTTTCGTTGTATGAAATTCAGAGCAATGAAGCAATTGTAATGACGGTGCAAAGAGAAGTGTTGACAAAGATCAGAGGCATCGAGACAGTGAGGATATTGTTGAATGGTGAAGATTATGCAGTAGTTTGAAGAAGATGAGGAACTGGTGAAAATCTTGATTCATAGATGAAGACGATGATCAAGGTTTGTACAGAGAAGGAGGCAATTTGCAGAGGATTCAGATAAAGATTGAAGTGAAGTGATTTGAATGATGACGAAGATGAAGATGAAGAAGAAAAAGAGAGACAGAGAGACAGAGAGACAGAGAGAGAGATTTTTTGTCGTTCTTTGTGATCTGTGAAGAATGAATATCCCCCCTTGAATTGGTGAGTTTCCCTGTTATCCCCTTCTTGTTAGCCCCCTGATTCCTCTTCTTATCTTATCTGTTATAACTTGTTCTGTTAGAAGATTGTTGAGAAATCGTTGGGAAAGGTTACAGTTAGGATTAGTTAAAAACTGTTACCGATTGTTAGAAGGTGAGGTTTTTTCTGTTTTGTAGTTTGTTAGGAATTTATGAATAATAGCCCTTGGATCTGAATTCAGTTAGAACAATGAATGGTTCAGATCTGATGGATGATGAGATGTTAATTCTGATATGTTGAGTCCCTGATTTTTGTTATTCACTAAGCTGGATGATGGTTATGTTTAAAAATGATAGCAGGAGAGTTTTTGTTAGAGATTTTCTGTTAAAGCGTGTTTTATAAGGTAGATTACAGTTAGTTATAGGTTGTGGGCAATTTTTCTGTTGAACAGGGCTGTTAGGAAGTTTGTTGGGAATTCTGTTTCAGTTAGGATTAAAATTCTGTTTGGATTTTTTTTTGGGAATTCTGTTAAAGGTTGCTAGGGGTTAGTTATGCAAGGTTATTGAGGGGTGATTAGAATTAGTTAGGGGATTCTGGTAGCTGAACTGCTATTTCTATTATTTTTGTTGAATTGGTTTATTGGTTATATGCAGGCTGTAGTAAACTTGGGCAACAGCAGGGCAACCGGTTCATTATGCAGCTCAAGGTTTAATGACAGTGGCGATGCACTTCTTGGAAACATGGAGGATTGGAGCAAGCAAATTGGACCTGGTTTTGATGTCATGAAGATGTCATGAAAAGGCTTTGGATTAGGAATAATAGGTTTAGGACATATTTTTTGTTGTATGATTACTACGAATTTGGAATGGTATATTGGAATGACTTTGAAACAAAATGATTTTCTATTTGTGTAGTTTTCTTTGAAAGATGTAGAATGAATCTCCTAGATATGTACCAAACATGACTCGATCATGGAAAGTATTGCGTATGGAAACATGGTTTGGAATGGAATGGTCTTGAAACGTGAAATATGTGATGGTTATTCTTGTAATGAGATCAAATTTGTGAGGTGACTTGATTTGTGAACTTGAATGTTGTGATACGGTGAGAGAACTGACTTGAGGTGTTGCGTTTTATTGCAAATGTTGCGGTTTACCAAGAGTCGCCACCGACTTTTCTTTTATCCAATAAGGAAAGGCGAAAAAACACAGGAAAGACCTTTCGAGATGTTTTCTTGAGTTCGAGGGATAGATTATGAAAAGGGAAGGTATTAGCACCCTTTCCATCCATGGTTTTCCATGGGCTCTTAGTTACTTGCTAGATCACTTGCTTTTGTTTGAAAATGTGCTTTATGTGGTTTTTGAAATTATTTTAAAAAGGTGCCATTGTTTAGGAAAACTTTGTAATAGTTCTCGTTCGTAAGAACGTATACAAAGTATTGAGCTTTTGAAAATATTTCATGTTTGGGAAATGTTTTGAAAGTGTATATGATTATTTTTTAAAATAGCAAGGATATTTGTTTGGAGAGTGAGCAAGTAACTAAAAGTAATCAACCTACTCAAAAGGTCTTTAGATGTGCTTTTCCTCCTCCTTTAGAGTTGCTATCTTACCATTGACTTGGTAAGAAGCCTCGTCGTTGAATGTGAAGGGACGGGCATTGGGTCATCGTATGACCATGATAGCAATGTTGTGAGATGACTTAGCACTTTTTCTTTAGGGACTAAGATCATTTTGAAAGGCAACTTTGATAGCGTTATCGAGGGACTATGATCTTGTATTTTCCGATTTATTTGTGCTAAGACATCCCACATGCATAACGTGGCCATTTTTATAAGGCTACAAGTGGAATTACCCTAAGGGTGTAAGTTAGCGAGTGTATTTGATTGCATGCATAATTTATATTAAATTAGGGTTTTCTAAATATTGGTTTTAGTCTTGTCATACATACCCTAATTACTAACAATTTATGAAAGCAATAAAGGTATGGAAAATAAAGATTCTACGCTATTACAAACATTAGGGGGATGGGTGTACAAACTTCAAATGGGGGTTGCAAATTAAATCCTAGGTTACTATTACAACCATATTGAATAGGTAAGAATGTACAGAAAATGTAAAATGTTTGTCTGTTTAAAAAGGAAAATAACTTTTGTTTAAGAAAATATATTTGTCTCTCTTTTTTTGGTTTAAAAAAATATAACATGCAAATAAAAAATATTTTTGGCGTTTTTTTATTAATAATAAAAAATAATATGATGGCAAAATAATAAAAGATAAAGAAAACATAATCAGCGCAAAATGCTGAAAATAGAAGAGGTCAGAAGTTCTGACTCTGACTTGCTGCACAAACAGAAACAACGTTAGTAGAAATATGGAAACTCAAGTTTTGGATCTTCTGAGAACACAGAAGTTTTCAGAAGTTCTGACACAACTGTCAGAACTTTGCCTCTTTCCATGCAAGTCAGAACATCTGCAGCTTAGTCATTTCTTATAGAACAGAAGTTGCATACATAATAGTTATGACAAATTTCATAAAATATCAAAAGCACAAATCAGAAGCAACATGTATTTGCTAATTCTAATTCTGAGTCCTAATTTCTTTATGAAGCTCTGAATAGGGATTTCCTCTACTTAGGCCGGCAGATGCATGAAATTTCAAAATATGTACATCATCAGGATCAGAATATCTACCTTGTGTTAAATAAGCAAAATCTGACAATGCTTAATCAGTTATGACGATAGTCAGCAGAAAACTTACCTTGCAGCTGAAAAGGATTCTGTGAACTGGAGGTTGGTCTTGAATTTTGGTGATGTTCTGAGCAACTTCTTCACGTACTCAGCAGGATGGAAGTTTGCAACTTCTGGAACATCCAAGGGTGATATTCTGACTTCTTTGAGGTGGAAGTGAATGGAGAGTGTATGGCAATAGGAATACAGAAGTTAAGGTAGCTTCTAATGTGTGAGTCAGCAACTGCGTGGATGGCTTTGGTCAAGAACACTTGAGGGAAAAAATGGAGTTTGATTGTAAGGAATCAATGCTAAGATTTTGGTATTTTGTGTTTATAGTTTCCTGGGTTTTTGGAATTTTCGCAGTGGTTCAAAGCTTTCTTTCTCAATTTTCTCGTCTCTTTCACAAATTTTTATGGACCCTTTCTCAGTGGCCAATGGTGTTCTATTTATTGGCAAAGCTTTTGTAGTTTGGAGATGTCAAGTGGTGCTTAACATCATGTGCTATAAGCTGACTTACTCTTGAAGTAAGCTTAACCAGTATGTTCAATGCATCAAGTGGGGTGGTTAGTAGCGCCTAAGCTGGATCTATCAGCATGAATTAAGGAAAAGTAGAAACAGCGCGTGGGTCTAGCATACTTTTGCATAGAAGTTTGTCTTCCCAAGACAGTAGGGGTACACGTGGGGAAAATCCCTTGGATAAAGACTTCACAAGTGGTTGTGATCATTAAATGGGTTCCCATGTGAAACTCTGGATCAGAAGTTCTGCCTCAGCGTAACATCCAACCTCTGATCTTTATATCTTCTGATTTTAGCGTATTCTGAAGGATCCTTCAGAACTTCATGTATACTTACAGCATGCTTTGTTACCTTCTTTGATTTAATCTTTGCAAACTCTGACTGAACCTTTGTGAACACTGGCCCAGAAGATCGGGCCAAACTCTGTCTTGAGAATATCCAGAATTTGCTGAGTGTGAATACTGGCCCAGAAGTTCTGAAATTGTCATATTTCTTAAATACTTAGAAAAATTTCTAAGTTTTTAGAATTTGATTCTTCCAAAGTAAAATTTTACTTTTGAAACTCTTGATAAAGTAAACTTCATATTCCAACATGTCTTGATGAAATATGATTTTTGAGATTTGATTTTGATCCAAAAGTCAAAGTTAGACTTCTCAGTTTGCAAATGACCATTTTTCCCTTGTGAATGGTTTGCTTGGAAAATTTGATAATTCAAGGCTTGGAATTGGATGAGAGAAAACTTGAGGATCCAGGGTGATCCCTTGAGAAATGAGAGGGCAAATTTTAGGGTGCAACAGCTGCCCCTGTTCAAACTTCTTGAACTTGAAGAGTTAGATTGGCGGATCCTCCATTCGTGACTTGAGGGTGAAAGATGATTAAACACTAGAGTGCCCAGAAATTTGCACTTGAAGATGGATGGTGAATGGGCTTATAGATGCCATTTGGAGGAATGTTGGTAAACGCTGGAAGAAGTATTATCACAAATCTCTTGTTGATTCATACTAAACTGGTTATTTTACCTGTGAGAAAAGGGGTTAGTAAAATGCAGATGCTTGCATGATGTTAACCAGATGTGGTATCATGCCAAATGCATTGGTATGTACATGCTATGACGTATGAATGTGAAATGTGTGTTTTCGTCCGGGAAGATAAATCCCTGACTATTGCTGAGGAAATCTTCGGAGATTGAATCCCTGATTGCCTGTTGGAAATGAAGGATATGCATATCTTCAAATTTCATTGAAGGGATGCTTTTACTGGGGAACATCACTCAAATACCAGTTGTTATCTGGTCGGATCCAGGCTTCACAGTTGCTGAGGATGAAGTAGTCGATTGCTATCTGGTCGGATCCAGGTTTTATGGCAACTTACTAGGAGAAGAGATGAATTAACTGTTATCTGGTCAGATCCAGGCCTTGCAGAAAATTCCTTAAAATTGAATAGTCATCTGGTTGGGTCCAGGTTTCACAATAACTTACTGGGGATGCAGAGGTTAACTGTTATCTGGTCGGATCCAGGCTTCACAGTAACTTACCGGAGGAAATGATGAATTAACTGTTATTTGGTCGGATCCAGGCTTTGTAGAAAATTCCTTGAAATTGAATAGTCATCTGGTCGTGTCCAGGCTTTATGGTCTTTTGGAAAGCTGTGCTATTATCTGGTCAAATACAGGCTTCATAGCGTCTTTCCGTGAATTATGGTTAATTGTTATCTGGTCGGGTCCAGGCTTTATAATATACTATTTGAAAACTGTTATCTGGTCGGGTCCAGGCTTCGCAGATTTCTTTGATGAAGTTAATTGTTATCTGGTCGGGTCCAGGCTTTACAATAAACTGGTTGAAAACTGTTATCTGGTTGGGTCCGGGCTTTGCAGATTTCTTTGATGAAGTCAATTGTTATCTGGTCGGGTCCAGACTTCACAATAACTGCTTGGGGATTTCGTTATTATCTGGTCGGTTTCCAGGTTTCACAATGAATCTTTGAGGATGATTGTTATCTGGTCGGATCCAGGCTTCGCAACGGCTTTCTTGAAAGGATAGAAATGAGGATTGATATCTGGTTGGATCCAGATTTCTCAGCCATTTGTTGGTGTTGTACCCCAAAATTTTCCCTCCCATATTTCTCAAGATTTGTCAAGAATGATCCTCAAATTAGCTCAAGGGTTGTAAAGTCAAACCACTTCCTAAGACAGCTGAAATTAGGGTGTTGGTTCTTTCAAGGAATTTGGGGTTTTCAATGGTTCAATCAAGCCTCATAGGCCTATATACATTCTCAAGCACCTACATGCCAAGTTTCAAGACTCACAGTGCCAATTTGCACAGTCAAAAGCTCCATTTGATTTACAGTCAACTGCAAGGGAAAAATGGTCATTTTGCAGTCAAAAGTAAGAATTCTTGGTCAACATCTTATTTTGAGTTCACAATCATCATTTGATCAAGTCTTGATCATGATTCCACAAGAATAGCTCAAAAATCATCAAGGTGCAAAAAGTTACTATTTTTGGACAGCAGAAAAGTCAACTGTATCTTGACCAGGGCATAACTCTTTCAT